ACATATATATATATACATAAATATATATATATATATATATATATATATATATACACACACATACACACACATAAACACATATATATATATATATGTGTGTGTGTGTGTTTATTTTACTCATACTTAAGTACAATTTAGACCGTGTAATCTAATTCACTACTTTTAAAGTCAGAAGTAGCTACTGATACATATGTTTTTCTTGTTGTGCTTCTGAGATGCTGCAAACGTACAGACTAGTTCACTGAGTGAACACATCGCATTCCAAAAAAAGGATAAAAAAACAAAAAAAAACAACTGGACTTTTATTCTGAAGCCGTTTCGCTTCCCGAGAGGCTTTATCAGTTCAAGAATGACTGGAATGTGGCGTTCACATGCTTTATAGAACTGCATGAGAGGCCTCAGGGCCGGCCCAAGCCTGAAGGCCCTGGGGCCCTATGTGAAATTTGTTTTGGGCCTCTCTACTTCTGCTAATAATGTAGATTGCTGCAATCAACAGTCACATGATCAGATCATTCACCCATCTAACATCTGCAGCTCTGACAGCTCTGTTTACATTATCCTAGCAGGGGTGTCAAACTCATTTTCATGTTGGGCCACATCAAGCTCGTGAATGTCCTCATATAATATCCTCGTATAATAAATAAGTCAAAAGGGCACATTGACAACAAACTACCAGAATATTTCCTATAATACATGCCGATTATTTTACCCACGAAGTAACAGCATTTTGACACCAAACACTAAGTATGCCAAAGTGAGCCTTCAACCCTAATGTTGTTATTTTGAGTTTATTAAATGTCTTTTATTATGTTAAATTTGCAGCAATGTATTTGGGATTGCAGGTTTATGTGTTTATGCAGGCAAATGTTTTTATAATAATATCATCTCATTATTTGGATGTTTGACCGTTGCCAGGCTGTGTGCAGCGATTTGTTTTTTGTAAAATGTTACACCTGTCACATGTCCTTACATCTCACAATTGTTGGTTGGATCATTATTCTGCCCTTCTTATGACCAAAAAAGTTTTGAACAAAGTTAATGTCATAATTTCTTATTTTTCCTTATTCACTTGGAAAGCTTGATTTGGAGTAATGTGGGATTCATAAACTGAAAAATTAAAAGGTTTTGTTATAATAGAGCAACAAGGAGACATATTTTTCTACATCTATACAAATATATACTTGTAATATTTGTAAATTGAATAAGTAAAAAATTCAGAGTGATTTAACATTAAGGGGTTGCGTTTATTTTACATTACATTTAGTTAAATGTAACTACTACTGTCTCACAGTTACATCTGGCCCTTGAGGGCAACCATTAATGTGGCCCTCGGTGGAAATTAGTTTGACACCACTGCTCTAGGGTGAGAGCCACAGAAATGGTTATGGCGGCCGACTTTGGCCCCACCTGCCTTGAGTTTGACACATGAAACGTAGTGGTACTAAAAGTAACCAAAAAAAAAACCAACCCACCAATATACATGTATTTTACAGCAAAAGTGTCATCTAGTTCATTATATTTGCTTCTAAAGAACTGCAACATAATGTTCAAAATAATCTGTAGTGCAAATCAACAAGAAACAACAGATAAAATAACTTAGATGCATAAAAAAAAATTAATTGTGCAAAAACAGACTAAATTAAATATAATAAAAATAAAATATCAAGGAAACACTTAAATAATGTAAATTAACAATTACTTGAAACCATGTAAAATTTTAAAAAGGGACTTCCAGTGGATGCCGTTTGCGGAGTATGCTCACTGCACGGTTCGTTAATTGCCTAATAAGCCTGTTTTAATTAGCTCTGAAAGTTCTAGACATTTTGTGATTCTGTTAACCAATCCACCCATAGTCCACCCATAATCTGAATGTCTAAATCAAAAGCTAAAGCCGAAGGAGACTGAGAAACTTCAACACCAGCGACACCATTAACCAAAGATGACCATCATCACTTTGCTGGAGGAGCTCGAGCTGTGCTGCTGGCAGACTATAATTATCCACAGAGAACCATCCATCCATCCATCCATCCATTTTCTTCCGCTTATCCAGGGTCGGGTCGCGGGGGGTAGCAGCCTAAGTAGGGAGCCCCAGACTTCCCTCTCCCCAGCCACTTGGGCCAGCTCTTCCGGGGGAATCCCGAGGCGTTCCCAGGCCAGCCGAGAAACATAGTCCCTCCAGCGTGTCCTGGGTCTCCTCCTGGTGGGACGTGTCAGGAACACCTCACTAGGGAGGCGTCCAGGAGGCATCCTAACCAGATGCCCGAGCCACCTCAACTGGCTCCTCTCGATGTGGAGAAGCAGCGGCTCTACTCTGAGTCCCTCTTGGATGATCGAGCTTCTCACCTTAGCTCTAAGGGAGAGCCCAGACACCCTGCGGAGAAAACTAATTTCGGCCGCTTGTATCCGAGATCTCGTTCTTTCGGTCACAACCCAAAGCTCATGACCATAGATGAGGGTAGGAACATAGATCGATCGGTAAATTGAGAGCTTCGCCTTTGGACTCAGCTCTCTCTTCACCACGACAGACCTGTACAGCGCCTGCTTCACTGCAGACGCTGTACCTATCCGCCTATCGATCTCACGCTCCATTTTTTCCCTCATTCATGAACAAGACCCTAAGATACTTGAACGCCTCCACTTGAGGCAGGACCTCCTCCCTGACCTGGAGAAGGCACTCTACCCTTTTCCGGCTCAAGACCATGGCCTCGGATTTGGAGGAACTGATCTTCATCCCGGCCGCATCGCATTCGGCTGCGAACCGCTCCAGCGAAAGCTGTAGATCACGATCTGATGAAGCCAATAGGACCACATCATCTGCAAAAAGCAGAGAAGCAATCCTAAGGCCACCAAAACGGATCCCTTCAACACCTTGGCTGCACCTAGAAATTCTGTCCATAAAAGTTATGAACAGAATCGGTGACAAAGGGCAACCTTGGCGGAGTCCAACTCTCATCGGGAACGAGCCCGACTTACTGCCGGCAATGCAGACCAGACTCTGACACCGGTCATACAGGGACCTAACAGCTCATATCAAAGGGCCTGGTACCCCATACTCCCAGAGAACCCCCACAGGGTTCCCTGAGGGACGCGGTCGAACACCTTCTCCAAGTCCACAAAGCACATGTAGACCGGTTGGGCAAACTCCCACGCACCCTCCAGGACCCTGCTGAGAGTGTAGAGCTGGTCCAGTGTTCCACGACCAGGATGAAAACTACACTGCTCCTCCTGAATCTGAGGTTCGGCTATCCGCCGGACCCTCCTCTCCAGAACCCCCGAATAGACCTTACTAGTGAGGCTTAAGAGTGTGATCCCCCTGTAGTTGGAACACACTCTACGGTCCCCCTTTTTGAATAGGGGGAACCCCACCCCCGTCTGCCAATTCAGGGGTAACTTCCCCCGATGTCCATGCAATATTGCAGAGTCGCGTAAGCCAACACAACCCTACAACATCCAGAGCCTTAAGGAACTCTGGGCAAATCTCATCCACCCCTGGGGCCCTGCCACCGAGGAGCTTTTTAACCACCTCAACCTCAGCACCAGAGATTGGAGGGCCCGACCCAGAGTCCCCAGGCTCCGCTTCCTCAGTGGAAGACATGCCGGTGGGATTGAGGAGGTCTTCAAAGTATTCTGCCCACTGACCCACGACATCCCGAGTTGAGGTCAGCAGCACACCACCCCCGCTATAAACAGTGTTGGTGGTGTACCGCT